ATAAAAGCATGGATAAGAGTCTCTGCATTGGCTTGAGAGAGAAACTGGCGCACTCTGGAGATGTTCTTAAGATGATAAAAAGCCTTTTTGGTAACATCTCGGATGTGTGGCTCAAAACTGAGGTTAAAATCAAATGTAACTCCCAAGTTTTTCACTTGTTTGCAGGGATTAAAAGACAGTGCTTTGACCTAATTCTTGCAGCATAAAAATTTTGTTGCCATAATCAGAATCTTTTTTCTATTGCAATTATTATTATTATTATTTTTTTTTTTTACATTTGAACCACAGAGTAAAAGCAGGTTATCCGAACTAAACAGAGGAGAAAAATATGGTGAATCACAAAAGATGTAAAGGAAGCCAACATGCCTCTACAATAGGCCATTGATTTATACCTACATGGATCTTCAAGTAAGCAGGCTTCGGGTGAGTATCGAAACAGGTGTGCAAAATGAACAGAAGGGGGCTATAGGTTAAGGCTGAGGTCACTAATCATCTGGGCCTTCCCAAGCAACTTTTTCCAATACTACTTCAATCATAAGACATAAAGCCAAAGTGCTTTTCAATAGAAAAATAAGGTGAATGTTGAACAGTTACTCACAAGTTGTAATATTAAGGTTAAGAGCCTACAACTTTACAGAGGTATTTCAAAAAATTCTCAGCCTCATCACAAAACGTCACTGGAGAAAGGCTGTTCTTGTATTATTTTCCTCCTTTAACTTCAATGCACTTGGTCCACTGATGTTCAAACTTCCTTATCCCTTCACAGAGGAAGGTCACATCTTTAGCCTCCAGAATCTCCTCAACAGCATTAATGACTTTGTCATCACTCTGGAAACAGGGACCACGCAAGTGTGACTTCAGTTTGGAAACAGAAGTCAGGCAGCACCAGGAGCTTTGGGCATGAACAGTTCAGGTTTCAGTATGAGGAGTGATGATTAGTCAAGCTAGGTTGGCAGACTAGGTTAAGCCAGTCAGAGGCAGAGTAGGGGGGACCTGCCTTTGCCATCCTTGGAAAAAACAATTATAGCATGCAGTTTACTTGCCCTCAAATAATACCTCAAATAATCAGGCAACACAATATCCATGTATCATCCTATCTGTAGGGTAGCCTATCCCAGCTGACTTAGAGTGAAAGGAAGGTACAACCTGGACAGGTAACCAGTCTATCACAGGGCCACACAGAGAGATGGCAACACAACATGACCTGTGAAATATTTCATTGAATGAAAACACAAGGGAAAATGAAGCAAACTTAAATACAAATTTGAAAGACTGCTGACAGCATGGGGTGTTGCCTCATTCAGCACTTTATAATGGCAGGATCTTGTAAATTACACTAATAAATGTAACAGTTTATAACAAAAGGCATTTATTCTGTGCTGCACAAACACAAAAACAAAAAAAAGTTGGAAGAAAGAGTATATCCACTTCCCCAAGCACCAATACACCACTGTGGTTTTTCAGTTCTATTTAGTCCTGTGTTCTTGCATTGCATGGCATTACGGTTTTTTTCATTTTTAAACAGGTACTTTAAATAGGCAACATGTAAACCTCTTTTCTTTTCCTGTATGCAGTCCTTCAAACATCAGTGCTGCTCTCAGGTTGATGGAGGCAGGCGGGTGTTGACACATGGTGTTGCATTCACGACTTCCCGTCACTAGAGTAAGTTACAAAACAACAAGGGACTATTGCTTTCTGTCGATAAGTGTTGTCTTTGTCAAACTCAGCATTTGAATTCAACTAAAGTATTTACTAACGTGCAGGACAAAGTAGAACGGGAAATGAGCCAGATCGCTAGGTTAAAAAAAGAAAGAAAAGAAAAGTCTTCCTTGAACTTCTTTCCAAAAAATCCTGTATGTCCCAGAATGCAGCATGACGTGGCAGGTCAGAAGACGTGCGCGGAGCCATGCGCGCTGAACCCCGCCCCTTCACGACGCCCCGCCCCCTCCTGCTGGGCTCGCGGGACAAATGCAGCGGCCGCATTCACTGGACCTCGACGTTGAAGACTCGCCTTCCTCGGCCCGCCTAAGGTCCGCTTCTTCGTCTGGCTTGTGGGTGCTGTCTTCTTAACCTGGGACGAGGGGTCTGAAGTGACAATAACGCTCATTCATTCAACAACTTGAGCAATGGCAGCACAGGATTTTAATTTCTTGCTTGCGACGGATTCTTACAAGGTGAGTGGACCCCTTCGGTCGTTCTGCTTGGTTTCCATTCTGTTTCCTGATAAACTGAGATAAATTCAGTTTCTTTTCTTTTATTTATTTTTTTTGATACGGCGTTAGGATTGAATTACATTCCGCGGGGTATAAAACCGAAAGTGAGGCATCAGCTGAAGGGGAGGTGACCATCGAGCCCAGTTCCAGTGGGTTAAGAGCAGCAGCAGGGTTACTCAGGGTAGGGTCCCAGCCAGGGGCGTCCAATCAGTTTAATCCGTGAGCTTTATCTGAGGAGATATGACTGGCAAGAAGTGGGAAACTGGAAATATTTGCTGATGCCAGAGAGACGTTAATTGTCAGAACTATTCCTCCCATCTTACTTAACTGCCTATAAACACCATTAACTATTTCTATTTAGCCAAAATGTCCAAGCTTTATCTTAAATGTTAGAGTTAAAATGCAAATACTACCAAAGTCGTGCTTTTAATAAACAAGTCATTTAATGAAGCATTTGGTGACAACTGTCCAGCTTATGGTCACTAGTTCCGGCACATATGGCCATGTATAGCAGGTGACTCAGGGGTCACTATGACAACTGGCCCTGAAACAGGATCAGGACTGTCTAGTGACTGAACAACGTGGATGTAGTCCAGCAGCAGAAACTACAAAGACTGTCTTTATCAAGTTACATTTCATCGTCTGCCCATCATGTCCATACATTCATGACTGCGGGGAAAGCATACGTGTATATTTACAAAACTTGCTGATTGCAAAAGTATGTCTGTACTGGACCTGAAAATGTCTGTTTAAGACTTTAATAAGATAGTAAATCCTTTTTATTGGGAAGGTTGTCCTGTCTTACCACTATCTAAATGAAACATTCAATATTCCAATATGTGAAATCCACATTTATGTCTCTTTCTGATCACTTACTGATTCTCTCCTGTCAGGCTCTTTAAGTACTCTGAATCATTTTCTCTAGATGATGTGTTCTTTTCTGTTCTTCAGTTAACAGTTTCAACATTAAAACCACTTGCCAAGTATTGTGTAGGTCCGTCTCGTACTGCAAAAATAGCTCTGGCCCGTCTGGGCATGCACAGATGACCTTTGGGGTTGTCCTGTGGTGTCTGGCACCAGGACATTGACAGCAGACTGTTTGCATTCTCCAGGTTTCAGGCCCAGTTCTTGACAGTGGGTCTGCCATGTACTGGCTTGTTCTGATAAATCTAACAGATCCTCTCTGTAGGGATTTGAAGGCCAACTCAGCACCTTGGTCTCTTTGCTGTGGTCCTTGATCTTTAGCTGTATTTCCAGTGTGGGAGGGACTACTTGCCTGGCACGGGTGAGGCCGCTCAACTCAGGAAGTGCTGTTGCCATGGAGGGGCGGGCTTGGTCTGGAACGATGGGTGGTACATGTCTAAGTAACATCGACATGACTGCCAGGCCCCAAGTTTTCCCAGCAGAAAATTGCATTGTAATGAGATGGTCAGGTAGCAGTTTGAACGCCGTGGCTGATTGCTGTATATCAAAATAATGCCTCAACATGGTCAATATGCTACCAGCTGAGCAGGTGATGGAAAAATTAATAGTGTTATTTTGTACAGGTTTAGATACAGATCTATATCTATCTGGTTGCTCAATCACACTTCAAATTAGGATGGGATCATGTAAATACACATTGAATGTGATATACTATCAGTGTGTCATTTCATACTATTAGACAGAGGGACAAACACAGACAAATTAACTAATTAAGTATCCCAACCCACCTATGCCCCTCTCATAAGCCACTGGAATCACTTTAACAATATACACGCAATTATCAACAATCATAAACACAAAACATATGACATATATATCCCACTATACAACCATATACTTATTAGTGTATGGATGAAACTAGGTAACCAGGAGAAGGGCCATTTCATTTAAGTCTTCATCTAGAATTAGCTCTGAACACAGTATGCCTGAAATTTCTGAGAAACTCTAGACTTGGTGCTAAATTATACTTTATCCTTTGTGTGGGATGGAACAGATAAATTGTAAATATCCTGCTGTTGGGCTAATGTAGAATTTTCATAGATAGAAGAAAAGAAAACAGTTTTCAAATCAAAACTGTGACTAATAATTTATGTAATAGTGTTAACCTCAATGGAATCATTTGACTGTAGCAATCAGTTTGGTATTTGCTGGACACTATCGAAGCCCAGGATAATTCAGTCGTTCCAGACTCAAGTTTGATAAATCCAAGACACAGGTGAAGTGCAAGTCGTGAAGTCATTCGGTCCACTGTGATAGAGAGCTGTCCTTATCTACTCTGTAATGCAGCTGCAGTGACTGGATAGCTTTCAGTTTCATTTTGCAGGTTGTGTAGGCATGTACAGTAACTCAGCTCTGTAGAGTTAAATGTCAGATGTCACTGTTAGATGTCATCCAAAGGTCTGCACTGCAGCCAAATGGCAAAGGTCTGGATGATGACAACCAACCAGCCTTTTTATTAGCACCACTGATCCCTGAAAACAAGTCAAAAGCAGCAGCACAGCCAAGAGGATGTGTTTGTTACCCACTAGAAACTGATTAGGTACATTGTCATGAGTTTTTTACTGCACAGCAGTCATAAATAACTAAAATTTAAAAAAGGATACTGTCTTTTCATAACAGTTTTGCATTGAGGATCAGCTTTTATTGATGGACATGACACTGCTGTCAGCTTCAGTACACATAGTCCTGATTATGTCATGTACTCGAAACAGAGCAGCTTCTAGGATTAGACAATGAAAGTCTTTTTATTGCCATCTATAAATATTCATTTAAATGAATGCAACATTTTAGTCACAGTCACAGTACATGTGACCCCATGTGCAGCCCTATGTTGGTGCTTGCCAGACAGCATGTCCTTGTCCAAGTCAGCTTAAGTCTTTTAAAACCTCTCTGCATTCCCACTGCAGTAACCACTCTAAATAGCCGGAAATGAACACTTTGCTGTTTTTAACTGCCCCTAACGTCCTTTCAATTATGGCTGTACTTGTATGTTGTTTTAAATGTGTTTGTTTTTATGCCTGTCAAAGAAGAATTTCTGTCACTTGTGACAGACAATAAAGTTTATCTTATCTTATCTTATCTTATCTTATCTCTCATCTAGCACTTAGGTCAGAATTTCAGTTTTTCCAACATTTCTAGTTTATAATCAATATGCAAAAGCTATTGACATTCCCGTTAACCTCAGCTCAGGTGGTTCACTTTGTCTGTACACCCGAGTTATGTTTGGTGTCAATGCATTCTACAGTTTCCTTACATGGGTTTCATTATTCAGTCTTGTGTGACTGAAGTCACCCAGCAGTAGCCACGCTTATTATGATGTTGCCTACATAACTACATGCTTTCTCACTGGACCATTAGCCCATGGGCTACATGTGACTAGGTGTTTTTGTTTTCTACTAAGATTCCTAGTTGCATAACTTATGTAATAATTAACCACTATGCCCAGTATGAACCCACAGCACTAAACTCAGGGCACTGTGAGTCTTGGCTTTCACAGCTGAGGAATTTGCTGGGGTCTGGTGCATCCCCGTGCCTTGCTCTGTGCAGCTCTTAATACCTTTCCTCACAGCCTGCTAATGCTGTATTAACAGCATGCTAGTGGATAATCATGTTGGTGTGTGCACACGTCTGTTGCTTGCTATTCTTTTATTTTTCAGCACTGTTCTGTCTGTGGGGTTTGTTGAAGGCCCTGCCCCCACTACCCTGCCTTAGGTGCTCCGCAAACATTTTTTGAGGGCGACTGAAAGTTAAAGTAGACACAATATCAGCTTGGGTACATTGATGTTTGGACTAATAACCTATTGGTGGAAAACTAATAAATGAGATAAAATGAAGGTTTCCTGACAACTAGTTGCTAACACTAAGATAATTATATGATCAGAATCTTTAAACCTTAGACAAGCAAGGGTAACACAACTAGAGCTGTAAAGACAGTTACTCTTGAATGCACATTGAAAAAAAAACAAAACAGGAGAGCAGCAGAATGCAAAAAAGTAAGAATGTTTGCTGATAATGTGCACGACATAGAAATGACAAACTTCTCATGTAACAGCAGAGGAAAGATAGGAGTGAAAATATGTTTTTCTCTTGCCATAGCATAATGAAATTCAATTTCCTGTTTTGACTTTATTACTGGGTGCCACAATAGCTCACCACGTTGAGCTGGCATCCCCTCACACCGGGCAACAGTCCCGATGTGGAGGTGGTGAGTTTGAATCCCACTCACGGCTGATGACATTAAGCCCTGTGATAGACTGGTGACCTGTCCAGGGTGTCCCCTGCCTTCACCCTAAGTCAGCTGGGATAGACTCCAGCCCCCCTGCGACCCTAATGAGGATTAAGCGGTGTATAGATAATGGATGGATGGACTTTATTACAACCATTTGTTTTCCATTCTCTGGCTGGATACAGTTAGCTCTTACTAAAATGAACCATGAACGTGAAATGGTTCTCACAGCTAAACTGCCCATTAGTTTGCAGTATGTTAAGATTTAGTATTCGGTATAAAAAGTAAACTAGGTGCCTTGCATTATAGAGAGGAGGTAGACATGATGAAACATACAGATCGGGAGAACAGAGCACTGTTTCAGACATTTTCTCCTTAAAAGCTTTCATTGCGTAAATTGACAAAAGCACTGCTGTGTAAAATTAACCAGACTCAGCATTCAAATTCTAATCTGGGTCAGGTGTGAGGAGTTTCACAACCTGTCTGACAGGGCTACAAGCACCTTTTATGAAGCATACCAATGCTCTTATATACTATCCACAAAGCATAATAAGAATCCTTGAAGCAAACAATACTCAAATATATACATTAAGTGACAAAATCAACTACTTAGAAATTAATGTTAAAATCATCTCTTTTCAAGACTGCACCTCTGAGTTTTCCATGTTTAGTAACTTCATTGATTCTGAGTTTCCTGTCCTGAAACCAGAGAACAGAAAGAGATAGAACTTAAATAGCAAGACGAAGAATGTAAAATGAATGTCTCTTGAAGCGATCTTTTTCAGAGACTGACTGGTTCCTCTTGATTATACAATTAGTGCTGCAGTAGCACAAATAGAGATTTGTATTTTAAGCTATCATGATTGTTCTATGTTTAGCACACAATCCTCTGGCATTCATCTTAACCTTTTCCACCTGAGCATTCCATTATCATGACAGTTTGACTGCTACTGAAGCATGACCAAGCACCATGGTCAAGGCTGTTCACTGACCTTACAGTTACGGAGCTACTGATTTAATTTAGATATATGTTTACAGGCAAAAAATGTCCTAGAGCTTGAAGGGTTAACATCAGTGTGCTTAACATGGTTTTGCTACATTTTTTTTGTGTGTGTGTTATATACTCCATACTCCCACAGGGGGAGATTCTCTTTGTGCATATCACAGGAAGCTGGTATCTGAGTGCAGGATCAGCCACACTAAGGCGCCCCTGGATCGAATTTGTGTGGTGTGATAAGATTTGGAAATGTTAAATGAGCATTACCAATACTGATGGCGATGAGAGTCACATTCTGACTTGTTTTTGGTTTTTGATCTCTGCCAGCTAACTGGATCTGCTTGACTTCAGTCTGTTTCTTGTCTTTCAGATCACACACTACAAACAGTATCCTCCAAATGTCAGCAAAATCTACTCATACTTTGAATGCAGGCGCAAAAAAGGTTCACAGTTCAGTGAAGTGGTGTTCTTTGGACTTCAGTATCTACTGAAAAAGTATCTCACAGGTATGTTTTCCATTTGTCTAAGGGAACCATATCCCTTAGATATAGAAAGATTTTATCTATATTGTGTGTGTGTGTGAGCTTGTTTACCTTTGATAACCCTGTGTGCATGGCCTCATTTCTTAATATGACTGAACACATAAGAGTATAGAGACTATTGGTAGAAGCAGTGCCTTGATAAATGCCTTTATAAAATTTATGCAACTCCTGCATCCAGCATTCCCGTGAACATGAAGGGTAAATATCTCATGCTCCATTAAAATAGCTGGAAGAATGAATAAAAACTTGCAGTATAAGAAAGGCAGCAAGCACCAAAGGTTTTTTGCTTGGCAAAGCAGCAAATGCGCTTGATGGCTGCCAGTAGTGACCTGTACTCTCAGGGAGAGTTCACACCTCAGAAATGGTAAAACAAACACCGTTAGAAACAAAACAGATGAGTCACATTTGCATATTTTCTTTTATCAAGACTGCTGAGAGTTTGCTGGCTTTTGAGTCAGTCCTGTGTGTTACTACATGTGGCTGAATTGTAGTAACTTAGTGTGTTTTCTGCAGGCCCAGTGATCACAGAGCAGAAGATTCAGGAAGCCAAGCTTTTCTACCAGATGCACTTTAAACAGGCTGTGTTCGATGAAGAGGGCTGGAGGAAGTTACTCGAGGTATACACAGAGATTTTTTGTCTGTTTGTCTGTCTAGATAGATGTGTTTATCATCATATATCTAAACTTAAGGAAATCTACTTGTTACATTGTTAGAAACATGATGGCCGCCTCCCTATCCGGATCAAAGCTGTTCCTGAGGGCAGAATCATACCGAGAGGCAATGTGCTCTTCACTGTGGAAAACACTGATCCCAACTTCTACTGGCTCACCAACTACGTTGAGGTAAATTCAGAAATGTGTTTTCAGTGTTTGATTTTTGTTCCAAGGCCAGAGGCATTATGTTTTTGGGTTGTCTGTTCATCCATTCCCATGAATGCAATATGTCTTAAATGCCAGAAGGGGGTTACCTTGGAGTTGACAGAAATATTCACTTGGAATCTTACATTTATTGTGACAAAATTTCACACCAATATCTAATAGGATGAAACAGCTGAAAACACCCATAACCTCTGTGGTATCTGGCATCAAGACTGAAGCAGCATATTGTTTAAAGGTCCCATATGGTGAAAACTGATGTTTATTCTGTTTTGTATGTTTTATAATCTTGGAGGTATAATTTAAAAGATGTGAAAATATAAAGATTCTTGCTAGTGCCATCCCTCTAGCCCCCTCCCAGCTTAACAAGCGAGACAAATTTTTTCAGCTTCTGTGGAGAAACTGGGTGACCATTAGTTGTCCAGCTGAAAATTTGCCTAATCCTGCCCCCTCACTGCCTGCTGCTTTGGAATGAGGCGCTCTTTCATGGTCTGTCAAGTTTATTTACTTGCTAGAGCTAATTCTTCTGCTAACTCTAAAATGCCTCATCCTCGAACAAAGCACGTCATAAACACAGGGGTCTTCATGCACTCTCAGTCCCTTCAGCTCTCACTCTTACATCATGTAAAACTTATCTCATCCAACTATACATTTAGGAAGTTAGTCCCTCGTTTGGGGGACTTTGTGACCAGAACATTAACACTGCAGAACTGCCATTTGAACTTCATTGTTATATGATTTGTTTCTCACTATCTTGTTCTTGTTTTCTCTTCACACCCACTCTATTTTCAACACCCCCTTTTTGCTGGCGATAGACCATGCTGCTCCAGATGTGGTATCCCATCACAGTAGCCACCATATCCAGGGAGTTTAAGAAGATCCTTGCCAAACACCTTAAGGCTACCTCAGGGAGTCTGGAAGGCCTGGACCTGAAATTGCATGACTTTGGATACAGAGGGGTGTCCTCACAGGAGGTCAGAAAGATTTTTTGTCTGTGCACTTTCTTCCTATTGATGTTGTATATTTAAACAGGTTAGAAGGTTAGAGCAATGATAATATTATTAGAGGAATCCACAGGTAAAGCTTTAAAGTTTTAAAGAGAATGGAAAACTTTTGAAGCTGTAATCTGGTGTCATGATTGTTAACTTAGGTTCAACTAAGGATGTTAAATATCTTGCCAGATTAGGTGTTGGAGCATTATAAATGAAAACACATATATGCTGATGCCCTCTACATAGATGCCAGTGATGACCATCTAACAGCAGTAATGAATCAAATAGCACTGTAGTAGAAAGCATCCTTTGGTTTAGGGGTAGTGGTAGCAACTTTAGAATACTGAGCCTATAAAAATATTCACACCCTTTTCAGCACCAAATCATGGTCAATATAATTTGGCTTTTTTTTTTTTTTGACAAGAATTGACTTTAAAGACTCTTTCATGTCAATGTGAAGACAGATTTCTACAAAACATGTCAATTAATCTAAAATATAAAATGTATAATACACGACTGCATACATAATAACCTCCTTCAAGTCACTACTTAGTAGATGCACCTTTGGCTGTAATTACAGCATTGAGCCTGTGTGGACAGGTTTCAATGAGGCTTTCACATGTGGACACTGCAATTTAACCCGATTGTTATTTGCAAAACTGCTCAAGCTCTGTCAGGTGGCACAGGGATCATGAGTGAACAGTTCTTTTTAAGTCTAGCCAGTGTGCAGTGTTTGATGTCATACTTGTTCTATTCACAGTCTGTCCAATCTCAGCCGCTCATTCAAAGGAGTCATAGGTGTCTCGGTGGCCCTCCTCACTTGTCTCTTACTTGCTTGGTCACTCGGTTTTTGAGGACAATTTGCTTAAGACAGATTCAGGGATCTGCCATATTCCTTCCATTTCTATTAATTAATTTAACTGTACCCTAAGGGATATTCAGTGACTTGGAAATGTCCTTGTATCCATTGTCTGGCTTGTGCTTTCCAATAACCTTTCACAGAGTTTCTTTGAATGTTCTTTAGTCTTCATGGTGTAGTTATAGTCATTAGTACTGATTCACCAGTGGCTTGACCTTTCAGGTACAGATGTCTTTATACTACCTGAAAACCTTTATACGACTCTCACCTGAGCCACATTTGCTGCACTCAGATGATCTCCATTTCACTACATGTGTGACTTGTAATCCCAATTTCTTGCACCTGTGTTAAATACAGTCAGCCACTTTAAAGAGGGTGAATACTTATGCAGTTACTTAAATGACGGTTTATGATAATTGACATTACTTAATCGGAATCTATTTTCACTTAGACATGAAATAGTCATTTTTTTGTAAATTCTTGTCAAAAAAGCCAAATTAAAATTAAATCAATAAAAAGGGGAAAGTTCTGAGGGGTGCAAATACTTTTATAGGTAGTGTAGATCTCTGGAATCTGATGTACACATTATGGTGAGTTCTGTGATGGTTTTTGTCTTTTCACATTAGAAATGAGATCTGTTTCAGTCATTGTAAGAATTCTGCCAAGAAGTTCAACATGAGTTTTGTATGACACTCTGCAGCCTAATCAGATTCTTAGGTATTTATAATCCTGGAGTGTCTCAGTCAGATCTCCATTTAGAGCATGGATAACTTTAAAAACATTAATGTTACACTCCTGTGGCGATTAGAACACATTTTTTGTCTTGGAAAAAGCTTGTAATCTGGGGCTTGGTTTGTGGTGGGACAATGTCATACTAAAGGCTAACATTAACAGAAAAAATGAACTAAGGAATTTCTACATAGTGTATATGGCAGTGTCATGCAGATGTTATTGAATTATTGCATGATATAATATGGTTCATGTCACTGGTTACAGGCACAGTGGCTAGTTTAAGAAGAGTAGAAGTCAAAGGGAGAGACTTACGTATAAAACTAGAATCTAAATTCAGTCATCTGTCTTTTATACATTCAAAACATGCAGCTGCTAAAACTTAATTCATTCTTGTATCCGTCTTACCTTTGTTTGATTTAATCTGTTGACAAATTTAGAAAATTTAAAATTCCACGATGGAAGACAATCCAATCTTAGACATTTAGTCGATGTGAAAAATCGTCACATAAACACAAACCTGCAACCTCACAGGAAAAAATCCTATTTATAGAACCCTCAGCCATAGGCAGCAAGTCATTTTTAAAAAACATTGACATCACTCTCAGTCAATCTCTTGCTGTTGGAATTGATAGTTTTGTCTTGTTATTTTCTGCCAATTCTTTCACTGTGATGATCCGTAGTACAATATTTTATGATCACATCTACACTCAGCTGTTATGTGTTTGTGTTGTATCAGAAAAAAACTCATTTGAACAGCAAAGTGATTGATGTGATTGATCTTTTCACCTCTGACCTCTAGTCTGCAGCATTAGGTGGAGCAGCTCATCTGGTTAATTTCTGCAGTACAGACACAGTCGCCGGGCTGCTGATGGCTCAACGATATTATGGCTGTCCAATGGCTGGCTTCTCCATTCCAGCAGCTGAGCACAGGTATCACACACGATGTATAAATAAACTAAACAGTGTATCAATACATGTAGTAAGTGGCAAAATCATAATTCGTTTAAAAAGATAGGTTTTCAGGTATCCAGGTTGTAGTAATCTTATTTGCTTCAGTAGAAAGCAGCTGGACTTCTTTTTGATTCTTGAAGACATTTTGTCTCTCATTCATCCTGAAGAGCTGCTGAGGCTCACAGTTACATCTCGAGGTGAATGGCTAATTCACATCATTACTTTAAAAGTTTACTGACTTCTTTTTGTGAACACTGTCACAGCTAATGGATATCAGATATACTTGTCTTTTTACCATTTAGCTCTGAGGAGGACTCTTGGATCAGAGGTAAAACATCTTTGGGAACAAAAAAAGAAGTCCAGTCCAGTTGTTTTCTATTGAAGCATATGCTATTGTTCCACTTTGTAACTTTAGAATTTATTTTGGCATTAAATATACAAGAAAATGTTGAGTTGAGAACTGTAAGGAAACTGTAACACTGTGACAAGTTGTGTTTTTAAATATTGAACCAGTATTACAATATGGAGCACTGTAAGACTGCTCACTGCTTTGTCTTATTTCCATTTTCCAGTACCATCATTTCATGGGGACGGAGCAGGGAGAAGGAGGCTTTTGAGCGAGTCCTAGACCAATTCTCCTCTGGGCCAGTGTCAGTGGTCAGTGACAGCTACGACATCTTTAACGCTTGTAAGCACATCTGGGGAGACAAGTTAAAGGAACGAGTCATGGAGCGCAGCCAGGACTCCTGTCTGGTCATCCGTCCTGACTCCGGAGACCCGGCAGAGACTCTTATTGAGGTAAATAGTATGACTAGATGAGTATAGCAATTTCTGCCTTTAATTTTTAATGTTTTGTCTGATTCTGATGTCATCTTGTTTGCTGTTTTAAATAATGAAATTTACATAAATCTACAAATTTTGAATATTTTTTTCATATTGGGAACTGGAAACCTCAAAATTGTGCTTTCCACAGTGCGTCACTGCACTTGTCATTTCTTTGAAACCCCTTCAGAAGAAAATCTATTTTTTTTAAAATGGTAAATGGTCTACACTTATATATGGCCTTTTTACCTTAGAGGTACTCAAAGTGCTTTATAATGTGTTTCTCATTCACCCATTCACACACAATCATACACCAATGGCGACAGAGCTGCCATGCAAGGTGCTGCCTGCCTTTGGGAGCAACTTCGGTTTCAGTGCGTTGCCCAAAGAACACTTTGGCATTTCTGTGGAGTGGGAGTTTCTGTATCATTACTCTTCTTCAGAGTTGGTTTCTTGTTCTAACACGTATGGCTGAATTAGTCCAGTATTTCAGCTTACCATTGTGTAATGTACAGTAGTTTTACAGTGTTTGAGCAGAGTAGTAGGTGAGCTGGTGTGCTCAGGGTCCTGCAGTGTGGATTATTTTCCAAACCGTATAAGTATGCTATAGAGAGAGAGATAGGACTTTTGAGGTCTAATCAATGCCAGGAGAGGGAATTAAATAATGTTTTCTATTAGTGATAAGTGTGCAGTGCACATGAAAAGCAGTGACAACACCACAATGTAGGCACTACTTTGGTTACTCACATAAAAAAAATAACTTTTTATAACTCTGGTTAGTTCCTCAGGGCCCATTTTTCAAATACAAATTAAATATCAAAATGTTAGAAGTGAGGGCACAGCTCTCAGTTCTGCTGTTCACTGCCATTGTCTGTACAAACCAATGGAAATTAGTTTTTGCATAAATCACTGATATAAATAAAATCATTGATATTTCAACTTGTAGGTCATCAAGATTTTGGAGGAGTGTTTTGGCTGCTCTCTGAACTCTATGGGATTCAAGGTGCTGCCCTCTTACTTGCGAATCATCCAAGGAGATGGCATTGACCTCAGCTCAGTAGATGAGGTAAGAAACAATGTGGCTGCTGAACTAGTTTGATCTTAACTGTTGAAATCTTGTTTAGTACATTATGTTTTTGCATTGCTTCCTGTTGCGGGTGTAATTGTCCTGTCCCAGTCCTTGGATCATTTAATTAGGGAGGACATCACGCTGTCTGTTTCTGTCATTGTCTGACAGCCATTACATTTTGCTAAAATTTATTAGCACTGTACTGTCACAAACAGGGAGTGATCAGCTAAGCAGCTGATCAAACAACAAATAAAACAAGTCCATGACTCTTCCAAGTGCTTACATGCATTGGATACAGTCTATCACATAGCACTGAGGGTTGTTACAAATCTTAAACCTCCTGCTTTCCATTGCATGTTATATATTTGAGTTGGGTATGTTTCTTTGACCTCCAATAGACATCATCAATTGCATCCTGTTATTTATAAAGCTATTCTTGGTCTGTTTTCTTTATGTACATGTCTATATCGGCCACAGAAGTATGAGAAGCTGTTGTCTTTGCTCCCAGGACTTATTCCTGCTGTTTGTTCCCAGAGCCGAACTGAATTGGGGAAAAGGCCATCCTTGTACCTTGTCCCCTTTGCCTTAAATCAGAGAAAACTCTGACTCTGACTGTTGTCTGTGCTGATGCATTGAACAGCAGCCTGGAGTACTCGGCCTTCCTAAAGTCTTTGTGTGGTATCCTCGAAGCGATTCCACCTGGGGACTCCATAGATCTTCTAGTGTACTACGACTCTCACGTGGGCAGTGATGGACAAATGAGGAGGGTGGTGTTTGGTAGGAATGGCCTGTCTGACCTGAACCATAGTGGTGTTTTGTTTTTGGACTTATGTAA